ACAACGATGCTTGGTTAGTGGTTTATCATCTCGTCGTTCCCAAGAAAAATTCAAAGCATACTTTGCAAAAGTAGTTCAAAACCAACTAGTGGTGGCCGAGAATAGAGAAGCTACCCAAGAAGTATTCAAGTTAGGTCGTCTGAATTCAAGATGATGTTGCAAGAGCAAAGTTATGCCATGTTAGGAGTTATGATGGATCTAATTTTTTTATTGTCTTGATTTGATTCAAGACGGGCAAGTATTTGCATGTACCACTATCTACAGACTCTAGAACCCCATATGAGCTACGAATGTAAGGTAATGTATGTAATATTTTTACAAATTATTAAGTACATTTGTTTTTGAAGAAATTTTGGATCATCTTTACTGCTAACATAACATCCCTTTGCCCTTGCACCATCACTTTGAATTTGGATCACCTAACCATAAATACCATAAGTTCTACTTTTCAACAAGCTTCTCTATTCTTGGCCACCACTAGTCGGTTTTAAACTATTTTTGCAAAGTATGCTTTGGTTTTATGCGTAGGAACAATAGGGTAATAAATGACCAATCGAGCGTTTTTCCAATAATGATCGACATATATAGAGCGAAGGTGACTCATGTACATATTCGGCATCGACCATGTTTGGGAACCCAAATATGGCGATAGTCTTTCCCGACCCCACACAAAGTATTATATTTCGTATTAATTTGTCCATCTTTGCTAGTCTCATTTCATTTATTAGAATGTAAAACTTTTTTCGTTGACCAAACCAAGGCAATTGGATAAATCCGCAAAATAAGTTACGTCTTTGGTTAAGCCCAATCCTCCATAACCTGTTCTCGAATTTGGAGAAAAGGATTAGTCATTCTTGGATGACCTTCAAGCGCTCTCTTAACATCACTACAACTCGCCCAACTATATCGCATATAGAGGACTTGATGCTCATTATAGGCTACTTAGCGGCAATGGATGCATTCGACAAACATTTTGCAATTTGCACTAAAGATTTTGAACCAATATACTCAATTCTTTCAAGATTTTTGTGCGCTAATCTAAGCTAGATATTTACAAATAGGTCTCGATGCTTCATTACTATTGAAAAACTTGCCCATCACTACTTTTGGAGGATTAGTTCTATCCTCTAGCATTGTGCCCTCTGAGAAGAGTTCGGGAATCGTAATGACATGAAGAAATTTAGAATGTTCATAACTATGCAAGACATTAACAGAATTAAAATAAATACTTGCTGGAAAGGTAAATTTAATTTCCACATACTTCACCTCATCGGGTGGTGAATAAAATATTGCTCCAATAGCATCTTCTCAATTCTGTATGTCTAAATTTTCCTTGACTGCCTTGGAATTGTACATGAGCAGTACATCAACTGCAAAATCCGCAAAGAAACACACCCGATAGTAAATAAGTTGTCGACAATGTTAGAGCTAAAATGCAAATTGTTGCATCTATGAACCATATCTTTCACCTTGGTTCTAAAAAGGGCATAACTCTTGGAATGCTATTAAGTTTTTGAATAATCTCTAGATCTTTATCTAACACGTAATATTGTGGATCTTCATATTGAGTTACAAGTACAGGGCGAGGATACCAGTCTCTCCACACCAATAGATCATATTTTATTTCTTAGACCTTGAGCCTCAAATCCAAGCTGGTAGAAATTTAAAAAAAAAGACATACTCCATACATACTGAAAGAAAAATACAAAATATATCAATTTAGTTTTCAAATGTGCTTTATAAATTGATGGATATTGAGCAATGGGGTGCAAATGATAAGATACTCAATTATGTTCGTGTTAGAATTGAGATAGCAAATGAGGAGAAAGTGCTAAACTCTGTTGCATATAATCAACGAATTAAGTTCAACAAAATTAACACATACGATCAACGAATTAAGCCTATGTTGCATCCTTTAAAGTCGAAATCATTAAGAGATGATAAATACACACGTAATTCCCTTATTTTTTTGTATTTAAAAGCCACAAAAAATAGATCTAAATTAAATTTGAACACCTTAAATTGTATCCTTCCAACAATCACTGAGATGTATGGTATCCACATGGGAGTGATGGAAGAACTTGTATACTATTTTTGAAGTCCCTTTTAGATATTCCGAGTTTGAGTTTCATGGTCCATTTTTCAAAATTTTGATTACAAATTACCGAAAATGTGCGCTGAATTGTGATATAAAAAATTTATCAGTAAGTTCTTTTTTAAAACATAATTTTGAAATACTATACTTTTATAATATATATCTATCCATATATAAAGATTTTGATGGTCAAAGTGTTGCATTTAAGACTATAAAATATCAAATAAAAACTTTAAAGAATCCCTCTCTTCNAATTTTCCAACTTCAGCAAAACTCCCCAACCAGCTTAGGAAAAGATTTGACTTCATTTCAATTTTTCTCCAACCACTTTTTATTCAGATTTTAAAACTCATTTCATTTCTTTGTGACTTCAAAATCTGTATTTATTATAGACTAAATTTCATAATTAGTCCTTTATAACAATGGATTTTCCATATTTAATCCTCTATTATCAAGTAATATGCTAGTGGTCCTTTTATAGGTATTTTTTACAAACAGTCTTTTTGATCTTCTGTGATATTGGTATGAATTTGAAGGTTAAAAATGTAATTTTACAATAATCATATATCTTTCTTGTCATACACAATGTCGCTCCTGATTCGTTATTTGTGAATCACAGTTACTTTATACTACAATCATAGTTTACAAATATGATTTTTGTCGAAATGCTAGTCCACAGCCATAGTCATTATTATTGTTTTATCAGTCTAATCGACATTAGAACATGACACTGGACATAGGATTGATGTAAAATTACACTTTTAGCCTTCAAATTAACACCAACATGATTGTAGTTCAAAAAATGGACTATTCGTGGAAAGGTACTCATATAAGAAAGACCATAGGCGTAATATTTGATAATAGATGACTAAATATGAAAAACCATATCTTATAAAGGAGCAATTATAGAATTTATTCTTTATTATATCTTCAAAACTCGCTAAACATGCCCTAATAACTAGTTTGAAATTCCGAAAAACATTGGCAGTACTGCTGCACGGAGAAACTTTTATTTTTTGGTTTTGTTGAGCTCTTGTTGTCGTGATTTTACCGGTTTCATAATATGACACTCGAAACGAGTCTTCTTATAACCTTTTCGTTACTATATTATACTCCCTCCGTCCCATGAAACATGGGACTTTTGCTTTTTAGGATGGATTTAAGGGGAGTGTATTTTGGTATTGAATTTCCAAAAATATCCTTTGATGTGATGGGTAAAAGTATGATTTGATGGATAGATTATTAGTAAAAAGGTATGATGTGATAGTTAGGGTATTAAAAAGTAAGGGGTAAACGTGACTTTTTAATAGAAATGAGAAGTGTTTTGTGGGACGGATAAAAAAAGAAAGGAGAAAGGTTTAATGGGACGGAGGGAGTACTCTGTAATAATGATATAATGGCCTCTTTACTTCCAGAGGTCAAATAGTTTTTTTCATCACTTAATTTCGTTAATCATTTTTAAAGTAGTAGTCTTATCGCGTCTTATATTAAAGAGTATTTTATGTAATCTTTACTTATATAACTTTTAAATTGAAATTTATATAATTATTTAAATACTTCTGTATATTGAATTCAAAATAAAGTTAATCAATCACGAAAGAAGTATCTAATTGTTATAGAGTACTCCATAATATGGAACCTCATAATCAAGTGGATCGACAACCAACATAGGAATTAAAGCAACATTAAGATGGTGTTTGAGAGTGGTATAATGGTGAAGAAACAGAAGTTTTGAGTATAATTGGAAATCAAATAGTTTTATATTTGCTTAAAAGCACTTCTCACAAGAGCATGCTTTAGACTTCAAAAGCCATAATATATAAGCAGAAGCAAATTGAAAAATTCCATTTTAAAGAAGCAGTTTTTAAATGCAATCTCCAACACCATCTAAAACATAGCGTAGTAAATTAGTTACATAGATAAGTAACGGAGTATTGAACTAATTAAGTAAATTAGGTTTAAGTCTTATTTAGGTTCATGGTTAGAAAGTCCTTATACTTTAAGGCTATGTTTGGTTCATGTTAGGATCTAAAAGTTTCACAGCAAAGAACAATGATAGTAAAATTTTGAAACAATATAATATGATGAGCTGGTGTGTACTTGTAATGGAGAAGGGCTCAATTTAGTATGTTTCTTAGTTTCTTCCAAAGCAAAGTCAAAGCATAGGGGCCGTGGGACACAAGTCATGGGATGACGCGGGACTCCGAGACTCTCTATGATGGATAAAGAGCCTACTTTTGGACGAAATAATCACTGTCAATGAAGTAATTGGAGAAATTTTGTTCAAAGTTACCGAGGGTAAAAACACAAAGGTCACATAACTACCCGTAATTCACGCTTAACTTTTGACTCACGAAACATTTCTTGTTTTGAATTTTAAAGAAATTTAAGATCGGTGTATTTTGGTATTGACTTTTCAAAAATGTCCTTAGATGTGATGAGTAGATTAGTAGTATAAAAATATTATTCAGAAACGGCGTGTAGGATGCAGAATACAAATGAAGGTCAGATAGATTCTTGAGGATTGTTGTCATGTCATCAGATACATTGTTTTGGTCTAGTGACATATATACTCTATTTACATTTCATATACTCTACAAGTTGAGTCAATGATGCCAACTATTTTTTTGAAACCCAATCAAAATTTTAAACCACTTTTAAAAGGGAAATAGCTAGCACAAAAGAAAATCATAAATAAATTAAAAAAATTGAAACTCCACAGAAAAATCATAAAATCCTTACTGTATTCAACATTAAGTACGGAGTATTTTTTAGAAAGACAACATGAAGTGTCTGTATGTGTGTGTGTCTATATATATATATATATATATATATATATATATATATATATATATATATAAAATTATCAGTTGTAGTTAAATTAAAATATACGGAGTATGATGAAGTAGGGATATGATAGAGTACTACTACATGATGGAGCATGCATTGGGATTTTCGTCGCTGAACATGTACGTGTACGAATCAAAGGAGTCATTATTATGAGTGTTGAAGGGATCGAGTGAACGGACGTATCCCGGCGGCGCCTTCCGGTCGTATGCCCCGGCAGCGTAGGGCTGATCCACCAAGTGGTAGGGCACATACGGCCATATCTCAGCCTTCTTCCCCGTTGACTTTGCCTTCTTTAACACCTTGCTTGGCTCCACGTATCCTCTCACCGTCGCCTTATGCTCCTTCCGGTTTATTTCCACCGATTCTACCCCTGCATGCACCCACCCAACATTAATTTAACAATTTCTTTTCCATTTTCACTCGACACAGAAATTAAAAAAAAAGTTAAAACAATGTTAAGAATTTTCATGTTTATACTTGGTGTGATAAAATAATTAAGTGATGAATAATATAGATAAATACTGACAACATAATGATACATTCACTAAAAAGTTTTGTTACTTGTATACAGAGTAATAATAATAATAATAACAATAATAAAATTACCGGAAATAGAAGACAGGGCATTTTTGACTTTACGCTCACAACCGGTACAATCCATTCTTATTTTCAACTCCACAGTCTGCATTTGTTTCCTTTTCTTCTTCATCTTCTTCTTCTCACTGCTGCCCATCATAACATCTGAAATACAATCTATTGTTCCTTTAATCCCCATTAATTATATTCTTTTAATTGCTTCTCCGCCCTATCCTTCATTAATTAATTAAATTACCACTTTAATTTAAATACTCTCTTTTTTTCAAAAAATAAAACTAATTTTATTTTGTTGTTGTTTATGATAGCATGAAATAAAGTGGTGGAATTAAAAATGAAGGCTCATTCCCGGCCATGAGAACAATGGACTTTATAGTAAGAAAAAAAATGCATTTTTCTTTTTTCACTTTTTCCCTCTTGTAATACTCCGTAATAAATTACACGTAATTAAGAACATAATTAGTTATTAATGTCAAACCGTGTTACCTTTATTTTTTAAAAAAGAGATCAAATTCCACCCTAAAGTGCGGAGTATTTTTTCAGCTGCTATGGAATGGAAAAAATGTTATTGAAGATTCTAGGGTTAGAAAATGAAAATAGTACTCCCTCTTCCCAAAATAAAACCCTTGTTTGTTTTACGATATTTGTCTGAAGTTATTTTCAAATCAATAAAAATAAAAATTGATGTCAAATTTATTGTTAGCGTAGTATATTTGTATATATTTGTTTATTATGTATTGGGCCGTGTGTGCATTATGGGCTCGTGCCCAGATACTCTGTTATGTATATATATACTCCTGGTAATCACTGGAAAACGTAGGTTTCACGTAAAATAATTTCTACAAATATATTACGCTAACATTTATGATTAAAAATTCTCTCTCTCCGTCCCTTAATGATTTACACACTTTACTATTCAAAAATCATGGAAACTTTTGTTTATTTATGTCTTTTCATTGACTATTTGATAAAATAAAATATTCTTGTCACCTTTTGTTTTGTAGAACTTTTGATGTACTTTTTAAACATGTAGTCTGTAAGTTTTATTTTTTATTGGAGCGATTGAGAGGAAAAACAAAGAAATATACGTTGATGTAGAGCATTCGCGTCCCGGAGCTTCCCATGCGTGAAGAAGGTTACGATCTACATGAAGGAGGAGATCTTCAACGCCAAACAGATTGTGACGTCCAGGAGATGAACTAGAGATGAACGAGTGGGCTGCCAAAACGTTTGTCCTCGTGATCTCGGTGGAGATGTGATAGCCGAAGCGGATCTGTACAGGGTACGGGTTAGAAATCCTAGATTAGAAATTTTGTCATAACAACTCGGAGAAGTGTCTCATCATGTTGTTATGTACCGGTATAACTTGCATCTAGTGATTTAGTGGAGGGCTATTACACGGACATGGGCCCCGCAGACATAGGAGAATTCTCCAAACTGCCTAAACATATCTGGTGTTATTTTTTACGCATTTTATAGTTACATCATTCTACCCAGTAGGCGCTGTAACGCCTTCTGTACCATCTGCTTCTGTGTGTGCTTGTGACAGAGAAGTGTTATAGCACACTGTGTTACTGTGACAGTAATGCAACATCTTCTCTGCAGCATAGTTGACTGATTGGTTTGCACATGTTTCAATTGGTGATTTCCGCTACGCCTCGATGAACTTACAGAATACGCGTTGGAGTTCCCACACCGGGAAATAAAAAATGAATACCACTAGCTAGCATACATAGACTATCTATATCAGCTTAAGCTTTTGGGTTAGAATAGTGGATCCCGACTTTATATGCAAATGGTTAATTTTACCAGACACTCTATCCGTTGTTCCCGACCCACAAGAATTTTAACATTATCTCAATACGATACTGTATCACATTTTCAAAATTAATCTACGATATTAAATTTTTTATCTTAAACGCTAAAGCCTAACGCTAATTGAGATATACTCTTCCCAAACAAAGCCTCATTCCTTGCTTGACCTAAGCATGAGTATTACGTTTGCTTTTCAATTTATACGCAATAGGGTGGGTGATTAAGGATAATGGTACGTTTTATTAAAATGGGTCTGGTTTCATGCCCAACTGGAATTGCAATGGATCACATGACGCAACATCAAATGTTTTACACGTAATTGTTTACACACTAATAAGTTCAAAACGGGATTGAAAATAATTAACAATAGGTAATTTGAATAAAATGAAGTCTAGAGGATTGAGCACGGATCAGGGTCATTTTCGTAATTGCAGGGGTAATGGTGAGCCCAAACCGGCGGCCCATTGGCTACTACTGGGTAGTGAGGAAACTGGGTGTAATAGTACTGGCCATTGATGACGCAAACCGCCGGCACGTGGGCTGCGACGTTATTATTCGACGGCGGAGCCACCTTTTCCTGCGGCGGCTTCGGCGGCGGTATTATTTCAGCGTCCTTCTTCAGTTTCTTCTTCAGTATCTTCAACACCGCATCTGGCTGTATTTTTGATCCTTTTATATTCGCCCTCCCTTTCTCCAAATCTACCATTACATTTTTAACTCCTGCATCCATGAACCGAAAAACATATAAAAATAGAAGAATTTATTAGTGAAAATTTGACTAATATTATTAAAACATAAGTCGTGACTAATGGATAATGACCAGTGATCCTACATTAGAAAATAAAAATATATGGTCATATATTGAGAAAATCATTATATTTTAGTCCTATTTAGGTAAATTTTTCATAATATTATAATATAATGACTTTCCCTAAATAGCATTATAAGTTTTTATTTTCCAATGTGACAATTTTAGTCATTATTCAAATAAATATTCGTCATCACTGGTAAACTATTATCCAATCCGGACACCAACTCATCCCCCACATTGAGAAAAAACATACTCTCCATTGGGACACCTAAAATGTTCCGTTCACAAAATTGATAATTTATACTCTCTAACTTCTGGTAAACTATTATCCAATCCGGACACCAACTCATCCCCCTATTCACATCATTTGAGTGGTGCAAGAACTAAATAAAAATAAAAATATAATGTAATGCGTTTGAAAGTAAATGTCTCAAATTGTTTAAAAATATTTAAAAGAATATCATGTAAACAAAATATTTGATAAACGTATACATCCGTTCTAAAGTAAGGTTCCTGATTGAGTTTATGATGTTTGTTCAAAGTTATTTTCAAATAAATATAACTAAAAATTGGTCTAAAATTTTCTGCCAATATGTTTAATAATGAGTCATATTTTGGAAAGAAAGGAGTATTAAATAATATTTTTCCATCTTTAATAAGTTTTTATTTTGAAAATGGACTTGGAAAAATACCTAATTTGAAAGGTCCAATTTAGATAATTAGAATAAGTTTTAACACGTTTTGACGTCATGTTAACTGTTGTTAGTCGGAGAGTCTAAACTGACCATTATTTTCAATTAACGAATATCATTTTGGTAATTAGTTTATCTTTGAGACTAACTAGGGAAAACATATGAATATTGAGTATAATTTTAAAAGTTTATTACTCTTTTTTAAATTAGCCGAATGATAAGTTTACAATATAGCCAAATTGAATGCACTTTGAGCATCAATAAAATGAAAATTTCATTAATACAATAATAATTGTATTCAATTTATTCTTATAAAATATTCTATATTTTCATAAAGTGTATGTTTTCCCCAAACTTTCAAAAGCGATATTTAAAAATTGATGCTTTGTTGAAATTTCAATAATATCTCTTTGTTGAACATGTCTTTAAACAAACTTAAAGAAAAATAAAATAAAAAACTATAACTTAGAGGACATAGTTGCTAACTACTCCTCAAAGTTTTCTCACACTTCAGACCCTCAGTCAAGATAATATTTTTGAGTTTGACGAATACGCAATTGACAAGTTTGTTTTTTTTCAAGTTTGGTTAAAGATGCCCCACAAAAGTGATAAATTCTTGACACTCCTAATGTGTACAACTTCTTGAAATCCCCTAATGTGTAAGTTTCGTTAAGAAATTAAAACATTTGTCAATAACATTTTCATCAAACTCTTGCAATCATCTTAACTTAAACATGAGAAGAAGAATTTGACAAGTAGACAGTATCTATGCTCATCACAAAGTTATTTTTTCTATTTATATATCCAAATATGGTTTAAAAAAACCAGGCACAGTTTAATTAAGAGAAATTCTTATGCTAGATTTCAAATATACTGTTTAAAATATAGAACTAATGGTGCACTTTTAAAAGTTCAAGACAAAGCATGCATTTAATCAAAAGTATAGGGTCTAATGATGCATTTTAGAAAGTGTGGGAGAAAAGATATAATGCACTCTATAAAGAGCTCAAGTGTGAAGCATGCATTATAATTTATGAATTGAAAAGTATAGGGATTAAAGATGCAATTTTAAAATTTCGAGTGTAAAACATGCAGTTTATAAAAAGTTCGAAGCTAAGTGATACACACACACACACACACACACACACATACAAGTAGTTTAGTTCCTTTTTAAAAAAATTTGTGAGACCATAATATGTTCACATCACTCTCTATTTTTTTGAATAATAAAAAAACTTTTAAATTCAATTCAAAATTCTTCCAAGTATCCAAAAATAAACTCACATGTCACACCTTAAAATTTCAAAATACTTTAAATTTAAAAATAAATCAAGGGAATCACTGTTGCTTTAGAGTTTTTTTGGTTGGAGGGGAGGCTGAGGGGAGGGAATATGAATCTCTCCCATTGTTTGATTTAAAAACATGTACGGGGTGATCCAAAGTTCTTGTGTCAATTTCCTTTCCTCTCCCCAAATCAATCCCTTTAAATCAAACGGACTCTCCTCCCCTCCTGTACTTCTCTTCTTCTTCTGTCAATTTTTTTCTTCACCTTGCCATTAAAACAATAAAATAAAACGAAGGAAAAATAATAAAATTTAAATAAATGAATAAATAACAATTTATAACCAAAATAAAAAATAATTTGGAAAAAATAAATCATTATAAAATAAAAACAATTATTATTTAAAAAAGTATAATAATAAAAATATTAAATACTAAAAATAAAAAAATGATAAATAATAAAAACAAGAAAATAAATAAAGAATCATTATAAAATATTAAATAAGAGTGAATAATAATAAATAATTATATTTATAAAATAAATAAATAATTATTAGAATATATAAGAAAGTAAATTTGTAATAAATTTAAAAAAATCAATAAAAAGTAGAAAAATAAAATTAGAAAAAAATAATAGAAATTAAAATTATAAAAAATAAAATGAAAAATTTAATTTAAAAAATACTGGTAATAATTATAAAAAATAGGAAATAAAATAAATTTAAAAATGAAAATTATAAAATATAAATAAATTGAAAATAAAACCTTTCCCTCACATATCAACCAAGGCATATTCTTTCGTGGGCTAAGATCCATGCTTATTTTATGAACCTTATTAGTGTATTTGTAGTATAAAAAATAGAGCTTTTTGCAAAATAGAAAGTATCCAAATGAAAACCCATATAAAATAGGAGAAGATTCACATTTTAAATGTCGATCTTGTGACCAAGAAAATATCACTCCTCAACCGAATTTAAAAGGCGAGGAGAATCGTTCTCATCCATCCTCATTCCCTCTCATCCATTCCTTTCCCTCTCCTCTCTTCCAACCAAACAAACCCTTAGGTTCATGACTTCATGGAAGCATGCACCCTTTGCTTTAATAAGATGCTCTAATTCTTAGAGTTAGAGTTGCACTATCTAATACTCCCTCCGTTCCACAAAACCCTTCCCCTTTCGTTTTTTTTTTGAATTCCCTAAAACACTTCCACTTTCTATTAAAAAACCACTTTTACCCTTACTTTTTCATACCCTACTTATCACATCATACTTTTTCTCTAATAACCAAACTATCACATCTTAATTTTACCCATCACATCAGGGGCAAAAATGGAAAGTCAACCAAAATTACACTTTCCTTATCTTTGCCAAAAGTCAAAAGTGGAAGGGTTTAACGGAACGGAGGAATTAAGAAAAAGACATTATAATAAAATTACCCTTGACCTTCCACAAAGCTTTCTTGACATCCTTGGCACAGTTCTCGCAAAACAGTGACACTTTGATCTCCAATGAGTCAACCTCTTTCTTCTCCTCCGACTTACCCATCCTTCTTCGTACGTACTGCGCTTCTGGTTTTATTTTTATGCCCTTAAAGAAAAAACAATCAGCAAAAAATTAAAGATGGAAAGAAATAGCTAAGGTCAGTTATAATATAGAGAAATATAATGGATTCTTTCCTTAAACGCTACATAAACACTTTTTTATTTTAATCTAAAAATTTCGATTTCTTTGTTATGAGGTACCTATACTTCCCTCTCAGGTTTTCTCCATCACTCACCGGCCTCTAATAAGACCAGTTATATATAGCCAATATAGGACTTTTGAAGGGTACGCGATGGCCCCACAACAAGGTTGAAGTGTTGAACTAATAAAAAAATACAACCTCCCTTCTTAAGAAAGAATGAGCTTCGTCTCCGAAGGCCCCCTCAGGTTTTGCTGGACGGTCACCGAGAGGAGGTAAATTATATTTGGATTGTAGATAATTAGCAAAGAGTGGAGTCTGCACCTAGTACTTGCAGAGACCATATGCTTAGCATAGTTGTCTTCCAGCAGAGTTACCCGGATTCGAACTCGAGTCTTACCCCTTTAGCACTCCTTCCCTTGTCAACTGCGCAATGTCCAACGGCACTCCCTCGCAACTCTGAGGATATATTTTAAGTACATCCTCAGAGAAAGTTTGTCAAGTTTTAATTTTTTGCTGTCAAAATTGATCAAATTTAACCTTAAGTTAAATAAAATTAATATTAGATGTCGATACAAGAATAATTTTATTTATTTAACTTGTACAATACTTTTAAAATATTGGATAGGTCAAAGATTGATCTTAATTGACTAAAAAAATTAAAACTTGACAAACACTTTTGGAAGAAGTAAAATATTCTCAGGAACATACGACACAAAAAGTACCCCATTGTTTTTTTTTCAATTCATATTATTGGAAAATTGATAAGAAATAAAAAATAATACTAACTTATTAAAAGTTATGGTTTTTAATTCTACAAGATAAAAGATGACATGACCAGATTATATGTGAAAAAGCCTTTTTTTTCTTTTCATTCCAAGAGTAATTATTTAAAAACCACCTTAATCCTGAACGCTCCGTTTGGTACACAAAATTTAGGCCATTTAATTAGAATTGAAGACTTCAATGCTGCTATTTGGTAGTACAAAAATATGTAGAATTAGAATTTATTTCTAATTCGAAATCTTTCAATTGAACATTTGACATTCCATTGCAAAGGAAAAGAATTAGAAATTCAAAATTTGAATTCTGCGAGTCAAAATCAAATCACACATGGCAGATCCCTTTTAGATATAACAAAGAAACTGGTCTTATAAATTAACAACTTAAGCTTTAAAATTTAAAATAAAAAACTAAAATGAAAAATCAAAATTTAAAAACTAAAAATTAAAATTAAAAAAACCTAAAAATTGAAATAACAAATTTGACATTTAAAATTTTCAAATTAAAATGTAAAGCTTAAAATTCAAAATATAAAATATTAAATTTTAAAATGTAAAATAAAATTTAAAATTTAAAGAGTAAAATAAAATTTAAAAGTCACAATGTAAAATTTAAAATTTAAAACTTAAAATTTTAAAGTTAAAAATCAAAATAAAAAACTAAAATTTGATATATAAAAATAAAAACAAAAAACTAAAAGTTAAAAAAATTAAAATTTACAACTAAAAATAGAAATTATTAAATCTAAAAATTTTAATTTAAGATTATTTAAAAACCAAGACTACAAGTTAAATACTTAAAACTTAAAGTAAACTATTTTATAATTTCAAATCAGATTTTAAAAGTAAAAAATAAAATATCAAATATCAAATGTAAAATATTAAATTTAAAATTTAAAATATAAATTTAAAATATAAAATTTAAAATATTTAAATATTTAAAATTTCAAATTCGAAAAAATAAATATAAATTTTAAAATTTCATATTTAAATTTATAAACTTGAATTTTATATTTTATATTGTTTAATTTAAAATTAAAAATTAAAAATTTAAAATGTATCATTCAGGATTTAAAATTCAAATATTAAAGTTTAAATTTATAAACAAAAATAAAATTAAAATTTTCAATTTATAATTTAAATTTAGATTTTTAAATTTCAAATTTATAATATTAGAATTGAAAATTTAAATTTAAATTAAAAACTAAACTTTTAAAGTTTAAATTTTAAAATTCAAAATTCAAAATTTAAAAGTATATTTAAATTTAAATTTTAAAATTTATATTTTAAAGTTTATATTTTTTATTGTACATTTTTAATATTTAAAAATTAAAAACATAAATTTCAAAACTAAAAACTAAAATTAAAAATTTAAAATCGAAAATATAAAATTAAAAATTAAAACTTAAAAATTTAAAATTTAAAATTAAAATTTGAAATTCAAATTTGAAATCTAAAATTAATATTTAAAAATTTTGAAATCTGAAATTAATATTTAAAAATTAAAAACATAAATTTCAAACCTAAAAACTAAAATTTAAAATTTAAAATTTAAAATTTAAAATTTAAAATTTAAAATTTAAAATTTAAAATTTAGAATTTAAAATTTAAAACTTAAAATTTAAAATTTAAAATTTAAAATTTAAAATTTAAAATTTAAAATTTAAAATTTAAAATTTAAAATTTAAAACTTAAAATTTAAAATTTAAAATTTAAAATTTAAAATTTAAAATTTAAAATTTAAAATTTAAAATTTAAAATTTAAAATTTAAAATTTAAAATTTAAAATTTAAAATTTAAAATTTAAAATTTAAAATTTAAAATTTAAAATTTAAAATTTAAAATTTAAAATTTAAAATTTAAAATTTAAAATCCAATATTTAAATTTTAAAATTTAAGATTTAAATTTCAAATTTAAAGTTTAAGATTTAAAATTTATAATTTAAAATTAAAATTTTAATATTCAATATTTAAAATTTAATACTTAAAATTTAAAATTGTGTAATCTTTATAATTAGTCATTTATACTAGGGTTTTTCATATTTAGTCATATATTTCCAAATATTCTCCCGTAATCCTTCTTTTATGGGTACTAGTCTACAAATAGTCTTTTTGACCTTCTGTTACATTGGTATTGATTTGAGAGCTAAAAAATATAATTTGACATCAACCTTGTTAGTCGATGTTTAATACTCTAGAGGGGGGAAATAGAGTTGATGTCTAGAATGAGTATTTTTCCTGTGTGTGAATAATAAAAAATAAAACGCAACAAGAAAGTAAAGAGTAGAGACGAAGAACAACACTGTAATGTATACTAGTTCATCACTTCGTGACTAATCCAGCCCTCTGAGAGACTATCTCGTAGGTCCTACTGACTTTCAAGCTTTAATTGGTGCTTGAAAAACCTTTTACAACCTGAGAATTTGAATCCCACATGCCTCAACACTTTACAACAAGACTTGTGTCCCACAAGTCTCATCAACTCACAAACTTAAAGATGAATCTTCAAGTTTGCAAGAACACAAGAGTAACATTAGATGAATAACTCACAAACTGAGTAACTAAGTGTCTAAAAATATAAGTTTTAATGGATGACAAAATATTTGCACTAAAAATATTTTCTATACTCTCAAAATATATTGATTTGAGAAGAAAATTGATAGAGCAAGAAATGTATCAAATTAAGATTAATTTGGAGTGCATGGGGGCGGATACCTTTGAAGGAAGGTAGATGAGGGTTTATATAAGGCAAAAGAGTATATCCATTACACCAAATGAAAGGACTTTAGTCAGTAATGGACGAATAAAAAATCGATTTTTAAGATTGAGAAAATTGATTTTTAAGTACTGCAAGATCAGGTAGTGCGAAAGGAACGAATAGAAAATCGATATTCAAAAGGAGAAAATTTAATTTTAGCTACTGCTCTCGGAATCGATTTTTATGTGGGAAAATCGATTCTTAGGTGGGAAAATCAATTTTTATGCGAATCTTTCAAAGACAAGATCTCAAAAATAGTTGCATGCAAATTATAGGTCTAGCGATAACACATGGAGATAGTGTGAAGGTTGTGTAGTATGCAGGGGCGGACCCACATAGAGTCACATGGGTCACGCGACCCCACGGAATTTTGTAATTTTTTTCTATATATTTATATATATTTAGGTAAAAATATAGTATTACTATATATTTAGCAAAACGCAAAAGTTCCGAGATGGATGTGTAGACAGAGTGGAAAGCGACGGCATTGCTAGTGGATTCTTGATCGGTTGACGGTTTGAAACTGGGCTGCAACAATTTTGAACCACATTTTGTTTATTTTGTTTCCCTTTTCCATTTTATTATACGTTTCTTTTTTGTTTTTCTTTTTTTTTGTTTCATTCCTTCATTGCATAGTCATATTTTTTCCTCACATAATTGATTTTACTTTTTTAAATAACTCTAAAATAAAAAATCGTTCATGTATACTTCATTTACAAATTGGTATTGATACTCCGTATAAAAATTACTTTTTGTTTATTTTGTTTCCCTTTTCCATTTTTTTGTACGTTTCTTTTTTGTTTTTCTTTTTTTTGTTTCATTTCCTTCATTGCCTAGTCATATTCTTTCCTCACATAATTGATTTTACTTTTTTTAACAACTCTAAAATAAAAAAACTTTTATGTATACTTTATTTACAAATTGGTATTGAAATAAAAATCAATATTCGTCTAAATTGACTTTTGAAGTCAAACTGGATAAATTTTGATTATCGGTCAATTTAAAATTGAATAGGTCACCGAAATAAAATTAATTTTATTAGATTTATCTTGTCAATTTTTTTCTGAAATTTATTTCTTTTTGAAAATATACCATGCAAAATTTATGTAATTGGCATTAAAATTAATCCAATTCAATATTTTTTTAATAAATCTAATCTTTAACTTTATGAGTTATTCCCATCATCTCGTTATGCTTGACTTATACATTATTTACAGAGTTAAATTAGATAGTTTTTCTTTACATGTTTTCGTCTTTCATTTTATTAAAAATTATAGTCATGAAAACTCTTATTTCATAAAACATTTTATGTTATTTTTAAATCTAAAATTTTAAGTTTTTATTTGACACCAATATTTAAATAAATTTAAAAAAATATTTTAGTTAAACATTATAAACTGAAATGAGACAAACATGTGATAAGAAAGTACATTTTTACTTAACGTTCGACATGTCATGTGTCTCAGAGACACGACCCCACGATCCAAAATTTCTGAATCCGCCACTGGCATTATGGCGGCAAAGAGTGGCAGTGTGGTGGTGGTGGCGGGAGGGGCAGTGTGGCGGAGAAGGGAGGTAGTGATGGCAGTAAGGGGAGGCACTGTGACGGTAATAGAAAGTAATGTAGTAACCTAAATTAATACGGAGTATAATAGTAAAATTATGAAAAAAAATAGTAGAATGAACATATTAAAAATAATGTCACATATTCCCATCCATGCCAAAAATACTATTGACGGTCAACGACGGAAACCATACGGAGAGACCAAATAAAAAGGCAATGGCTTTTTGACAACGACAAAGCAAAATATGGAAGTCTCTCGCCGTAAAGACTCAGCTGCTGCCATGGCCGGCGGGGAGCCTTCTACTCTTCTTCCCATTCTTTTGCTTTTTTTTTTAAATAAATAATACTCTGTAAAAAGGAGAGTAAAAAAACTAAAAACACGGTTTAAATTTGAAAAAATTTGCACTAAGCACTTTAAATTTATCTTAAAAAAAGTATTCCCTCCTTCCAAAAAGATTTTCACGGTTTTTATTTTGGTCTTTCGATAACTTTTGTTTGTTGACTCATTTTTGGTGATCATTTGATAAAATAAAATATTCTTGAAGCATCTTATTTTGTAGAACTTTTGATATATATACTTTTGAACGATATAATTTATAATTTTTATTTCTCTACCAATTTATAAATAAAATAATTTTAAAGTAAATAATATGTTGCACGTTGTTCAAAATGTGGTGAACATTTTAGGACGGAAGGAGTATTATCCTGTGAGTCGAATATTAGAGACTATTTCTAAAATGAAAGAAATATTATGGGCATGTTTGAGAATAGCATTAAAGATTGGCGTTAGCGTTTAGGATAAAAATTTAACAGTGCAGATTATTTTGAAAATGCTAACGCTAAACGTTTCTCGTACATAACCTTTTTAAAACGCTGACGTTAATCGCTAACGTTATTCCCAAGCATGCCCCATAAACTACACACACACACACTACAAGAAAACGCGAAAAGGATGACGGAAAATGGCGACGGAATACAAAATTTTTTAAGAAGTTTTTTTAGGTTTTCCAAAATTTTATACACACACACACACACATGATTTGAGATTTTTGATATAGGACATTACATCGTACCATTACCAAATATCGAACCTAAATTCAATTCAGTACAATTTAGTATCTTAGCGGTCTTTTTTTATTTGTATTTTTCTAGTTTTTTTTGGAAATTTTTGATATCATTTCGATACTTAGAAGTTAGAACCTGTTCTTTAGAACTGGGAAAAAAGCTGGATGTTGGATGAAACTGGAAAAAACTGGTAAAAACTAGAAGAAAATGGAAGAAACTGGAAAAACTTCAAAAAATTGGAAAACCTAAAAAAACTTCTTAAAAAAATTATTTTTGTGTATTTTTATATTAGTCTCATTCTAATTTTTTTGTTATAAATTATTATAATAATAACAAAATAATAATTATTATTATTATCATCACGTTATCTTAAAGAATGTCTTTAAGAAAAAAAAGTATTGTAATTTTTCATACACAAAAAAACTGCTTTTAAAAAAATAATTATAATATAAAGTTAGCATAAATATCAAAATGTTAAATTTTTAAAAGTTACTCCGTATTATGGTTTCGTTGCACCTCAATTTATTTATGCATCATTTATTATAAATAATATATTCGTAATTGTACTTTATATATTATACGATTTTGTTTTAAATATGAGACATGTCACAAAATGTAATCAAACCTATTTTTTATTTCATTATTGACATTTTATTTTTACTGTAACTCCTATTTTTGGAATAAAGACATAAAACGTTTTTTCACATTTTTTATGTTTTACTCTTATTTTATTATTTTTCTTCAAACTATTTTGATTTTCAATTTTTTTATTAAAATTAGAAAAATGATAAAAATTTGAGTAATAAAGGGAAATATGAGGAGTCTTATATAAAGCTAGATTAAAAAAACATTATATGTATCTATTTTATTCATAATTTTTTAATAGAGTAAATTCCATAAAAGGTCCTCAGTTATAGATCGTTTTACATATTTAGTCTCTACATATCAAATATTACTAATTTAGTTCCCAATTATTATATTCATTTTCACGAATAGTCCTTTGTTAACATAGTCCTTTATAATTATTTATCTATTTATATTAATAAAAAACTATTTGCATTAATTTATATAAGTTTTATATTAAAAATGATGAATATTGTAAAAAAAAAGAAGAGTAGACATCCACGTAGGATTGGGTGCGCCAAGGATTGGTTTTTAACGTGGAAACCGGCTAAAATACCATCGGTGAAAGAAAGTGTTAAGTTGGAGTACTTTTCTGAAAGGAAACAAAGTTGGTATACCAAAATGAAATAAACGTCAAAGTTGGTGTACCATACGTGAAATTTACCCCACATTATTTGAAATATACTATGAGGGTCCTTAAAATTAGTGGTAGTGTAATTTTTTGGTACATTCGTTCTATTTGACCGTTAGGTTATAACATTTTGATACTTTGACAAATATTAAAGTTTAGCTTAATAATCATTACTTTATTAAATTTAAATAAAATCCTTTACTTTTTCAAAGTTAAAAAATTTTCAATCTTAACATTTAGATGGACGGAATGTACCCTCAAAGTATAATATCACAAATTTTAAAGATCCCAATGTATATATTTTGCATAAGTGAAACCTGAGAGTTCTTACCAAAAAATTAAGAGTACTCCAAAATATATTTTAGAAAATTGAGGGTATACTGAATTAATTTTCTGAAAAAAAATCTTATGGAGTATTTTTGGGGTGTTCATTCGGTAAAACCGTACCAAACCGAACCGAAAATTCGGTTATTTATTTTCTGTACCGAATACCAAATTGAAATTAACTTAATCGGTTCGGTCGAAACCGAAATATTTCGGTTTGGTAAATGGTTTTACCAAAAACCGAAAAAAAAGAACTTTGAACTCTAAAGATCCATTACATTCTCCAAATTTAAAATAACAAAACACAATTAGATTCATGATGTTTAACTCCATTACATACTACAAAGTCAAAATAACAAAACACAATTAGATCCACCACATAATACAATACAAAATAGTTGTAGAAATAATACAATTGTCCATTCCAAAAAAGATTTATTATTTCATGATATCCATTCTTCAACAACTCCAGATCTCCAATGCTTCTAACAATCCTGTAAAAAAATTGTAAAGGGGAATATGAAACAAATAAACAAATTACGAGTAATCTTAAGTATTTAAGATATAAATAATAATACCATTTACCAAATATTAGACTCCAATCCAAGGGGTAATCATAATCCAAGAATATTAGTGTCAACTCCATAGTTTATCACCAACTCTATAAGAAAAAAACAGTTTAAAAAAACTTAAATTGTTATGAAACAAAAAATCGAAAGATTAACTATGAAGAGTATTTTATGCATTCTAGGAACTTACCTTTCTCAAGTTTTTGACAAAATTCTTCTTCTTCCTCCACGCAACAAATAAGAGAATGGCGGAGCCAATCTTGTGTGCAAATCAAAGCTTGTGACATCTTTGGAGTTAATGAAGACCTAAAGTCATCAATTACACGCCCACCAGTGCTAAAGACAGATTCTGAAGCCACACTAGTTATTGGCATCCCTAACACATCTCGAGCTAACATGGATAAAATCGGAAATCTTGGACTATTGACTTTCCACCAATCAAGAATGTCAAAATGTGGATGATCTTTCACAATTGGCTCTTGTATATACAAGTCCAACTCAGATTGACCACACACTCCAATTTCTGATAACATTTGCATATACCTTTTTTGTGGAGTCTTATGTTTTTTCTTTCTGCCATGTCACTTTCAGAAGCACCATATGCACCAGATGAAGTATTTGAAGGATCTAGAGAAGTGACAGAGGAGGTTGGAGTGGAATACATGGACTTATACACATTAAAAATTTCAACTAGTGCCTTATCTATTAATTTCGTCAATTTCACTCCAACAAGTTCCCCATGCATATTCTTTAGAACGTATTTCAAATAATTCATCTTGTGGCGAGGGTCAAGGACATCATAAATGTATAATAACTTATTCATTTTCTCCACATTTCCCCAATACTTGTCAAACTTTGACTTCATACTAAATGCCATATCTGCTAAATCTTTGTCACTACTCAAAAACCATTCTTTCAAGAGCTCATCCATATCACTAAGTTCATCCAAAAATGTGTTTGATGTCACAAATGTACAACCAGATATCCTTTTTGTGAGCTCATAAAAATCACGCAAGACTCTCTCAAACCTTTCAACCACAACCCAATCAGTGTTTAAAGGAAAACCTGGATCTTCATGCACTCCTTTGGACGAAAAATCAGCTCTAAAATCAGCATCTTGTGTCTTGTACCGGTCAAAAACAGCTTTGTATACACTTGCACTCTCAAGGATTGAATACACAGAGTTCCAACGAGTGGGAACATCCAAGCACAATCCTTTCTTGCTTTGTACTTTTTCTTCAAGAGCATAGTCATTAAATTTCTTTTGTCTCAATGGAGATTGTCGCACATATCTCATAACTGTACGAACTCTTTCAACAGATTTATTCATATCTTTTAAACCATCTTTAACAACAAGATTAACAATATGAGCTACACATCTTACATGCAAGTATTTCCCCTCCAATATTGCAGAACCCCAATTAATCAATCTTGTTCTCAAATAACCCACAACAGTATCATTCGAAGAAGCATTATCAACAGTAATGGTAAAAATCTTATCTATTCCCCAGTCCAACAAACACTTTTCAATCAAAAATCCAATTTCATCCCCTTTATGTGATGGATAATTAATAAAGTTTAATATCACTTTTCTCATTTTCCAATCACTATCAATATAATGACCAGTCAAACAAAGATATGTTATCTCTTGATTTGACGTCCAAGTATCAGTGGTCAATGACAATCGTTGACCTGTACTTTTAAAGTAAGGCTTTAACTTACTTTTCTCCTCTTCAAACAAGTTATAGCAATCTCTTGCTATTGTTGTTCTTGATGGAACAACAAATTGTGGACATGCAGCAAATACAAACTCCCGAAACCCCTCATTTTCAACAAACTTAAAGGGTAGCTCATCTTTTATGACCATAACTACTAATGCCTTCCTAACAAGTAACTGGTCAAAATTCCAATTCCTAATGTCTTTAACAGTTCCAGCCAAGCTTTGGCAAAAGTTTATGATTGTTTGGTTCTCTTCAACACACTTATTGTTAGGATGATTTTGACACACTTTCATGTGATTATTCATTCCAGTAGTACCATTTTTTGTGGAACCACAAGCATAATTTTTGGGACAATACTTACATTGAGCTCTTCGCTTTTTGTCTTTCGTAAAGTAGACAGTAAAGTGGCCCCAAGAAAGAGATCGCTTGCCCATGGGTTTTCTTAAATCTGTTCGGCTACTCTCTGTACTTTGAAACCCATCTTGTGATTCTTGTCCATGACCATCACTTCCAAGTTCTCTGTTTTCCTCTAGGTTAGATTGACCTGTGAAAATTTAAAAAATCCAAGAATATAAAAATATCAGATTTTATGGATAAATTAGCTTTCTGCAAACACTACCTTGATCCCAACAAAGCTTGTAAAATGTGTATGAGTGAGAGTATTCAGAATATGAACTGTGTGCACATAGACGAGTGAACAAACGGGGAAATGAACTGTGAACATCCTAATTTCGTACATGAACTGTGAACGAATATACAAAAAACTGAAAAAAACATAAATAAAAGCAAATTAGGGTAAGCAGATGCAACAAACCAAATAGGGAACTTACCTTCTGACATTGTGAGTCGCCAGACGGAGGGGATGAAGATGGCCGCGCGATCGATCGGATGAAGAAGGCAGCGCCGAAGAGCCGAACCCAAAGAGCCGAAGATCTCCCTGCCGACTGAGTGGCTGACTTTTGCGAAGAGTCGATGAAGCTTCCTTAGTCCTTACTGCTGGCCGGCTGCCATTTCCATCCAATTGATCGAAGAAACTTAAAAAAAGGAAACCTAGATTGAGTTAACTGAGACTTAATTTAGAAGCGGGCTGCATATTAACTTTTTCAAATTGGGCTGGATATTTGTAGTGGGTTGGGTAGAACTATACAATATTTTTAAATTATTTCGGTAATCGGTTTTTACCGAAATACCGACACAAAATTATTACCGAACCGAAAACCGAATTTCTTAAAAACTTAAAACCGAATACCGAATCAAATTATTTGGTTCAGTTTCGGTACGTACCAAAGTTTTTGGTTTCGGTAAGGTTAGGTCGGTTTACCGAAATGTGCTCACCCCTAGAGTATTTCATTTTAATTCTCATTAGAAAAAAGCCGTTGTAAGCCCGAAACTCATAAATTAAAACCCTACCTCGTTCCGTCATCGTGCCGAGCTCGCCTCGCTACTCCGGCATCTCTTTCTACACTTGCCGATGCTTGGAAAGTAGTTTCACTCTCTAGTCTTCGATCGTATCTACCCTCTTCTGCGTTTTAGTTTCTTCGAAAAGCTATTATACTCTGTATTCTTTAATTAGGTTTGCGACCCTGCCTTTTTTTGTTTGTTCAATGCGTAATGGAGTAATTACTTTATTTCTAATTTAATGTTGTTTTGTTTCAATTAGACTCTACTGAATCCAAAAAAAACATTGTATTCGTAATCTACTTTTTTTGGCAACTAGTATTTTTTGTCTGATTGCTTAATATTTTTTGAAAATGTTTTAAGATTGATTTATTTCTTCCTGTCCCTCCACTCCAAGTCGGTAATGTTGTTATTTCAATATATCTGTGTAATCCTACTTTTCAATTCTCTTTTCGTGTAGTCAGTATTTTATTCTATATTTCATGTTAATTTTGAAATTTGGAAGTGCATATTGATTTTTTTTCATATTTTGTTTTCGTATTCTGTTTTTCATATTATAGTGTGTTTCTATTATTTTTTAGGATTTTTTGAGACTTTATTGTTACATAATTTCTTTCATGTGCATGTTAAACTTTGTCGTATTCAACATTTAACGTTTATCAACTAGAACATATAGTGTGATATATTTATATTAGTGTTACTAATGTAAAGCAATTCTCATGTACTACTTGTCGCCTAGGTGTCATGGCGGCACACTGGCGTCACGCCTTGCCTTGGCGCCGTGATAACTATGTTCACAAGTGCTATTTATTGAAGCAGTGCTTTTAGAGGCTTTTAGTGACTAGATCATACTTAAAAATTAATTCACATATTTTGGTTTAATTTTTATTTGATTGAAATTATGTATTTTAAAAGATACACTTTTTTATTTTAATTATTTATTTGAGTATTTGAAATAGTCTTTTTATCAATAGTTTTAGGATTTCAAGATTTAACTCTATAAATGCTTATTGGTAGGTGAATTATGAGAACTTCATAGTGTAGAGAATTAGAGGCTATAGTTCATAGTTTTACATACTACGCCATGACAACCACAATTGCGTTCCTCTTTGGATGCAATTTAGATATTGAATACCACTCTTCCGTCTAATATAATGGACCTGTTCTCCACATCACTTTCTGACTTGAATATGAAAGCCCATTAGCCCATTACATGATTACACTTTTTCTTGACCATTTTCTATTTAAATTCTGTTTTTTGCTGATTCTGACATGGGTAATTTACAATGCCCTGGGTACACCCATCCAGGTCACCCTCCCCAGACCCGATTCATGGCATTCTAATGGGTAGTTGTCATTCAGATGCTTAGGAATGAGTTTTTTTAGTCTGTGCCCATTTGCCTGGATAAGGAAAAATAGTAATATAGGAAAACAAACATTCATTCCTCCAATAAATTGTCATCTCAATTCGCTTTCAAATGTACTTTCAGAATCACTGGTCTGGAGCTAGTGAATTCCCCATCTGCGAGAAAGATTGCCAAATAAAAACCTGTGGTTATGGCTTCAGCACCATCAAAGCTACACACAGGTTTTCTTATATATTCTTGTCTTTGTCTTGCACATATATTGCAAGTAGACAAAAAGCTCGTGTGAGATCTTCATGCAGCTCAATCTGCGGGACCTATCATTTTTAAGCTCAAAAATGAAAACCATTACCTTTGGGCCAAAAGTATTGGTATCTGAAAGTAGACTACTTTGAGAGCATTTTGAAAAGTAATTCTCTGTAAATTTAGACCGAACACATTAGCTCTAAATTGGAAAGTGATAGGTCTCACGAGAGCGAGCTCCATGTGGCCTTCTCTCACACAACTGTTGCTGTACTACTCCTTAATGCCTTCAGGTATAGGGATATTACTATCCATATGTCTTCCTTGTAATGGTTTCTTGTCAATTCTTGAAAATTATCAGATGATGTAAGCTTATTGATGGTGACGATTGATACCAATCCGTTCTTCTGGAGCTCGATGAAGAATAGTGATTCTTTTAATTTTTCTATGTTCTTATCTCATGTAAGTATGTAACCATATAGTGTTGGATCCATTCTTTCATATTTTTTTTAAAAATATGTTGACACACATAAGTAATTTTTTAATTTCATTATCTTACTTTTGGGGAATATTTTGTAGGTTATCTCATTTTTGAATTCAATACTATTACTATTGGTCGACTTAGTTCATCAACAATATCGTTGACCCATGTTGAGCACACTCATACATAAACTAAGGAGACTTGGGAGTTTAGTCTCCCGTCTTACGTACAACCTCTGTAACGTTCTCAAAGACCTGTTCCTGCTCAGCAACTCGGTCCTTATGAGTCAACTACCCCAACCGAGAAGTGAAGAGAGACCTAGTGAAAGTTTGGCTCTGTGCTGTATCCAACAATTGAGTTCAACCAGCTTTTAAACCTTATACTCTGTGTGTGTGTGTGTGTGTGTGTATACACACACCCACTTTTAGAATCCAAGCTTGCCTGGTCTGAATATGTTTGTTTGAAGTTATTGGACTTGACCATTGTGGTTGTCTAGATATACAAAGGGTGTTTCGATCTGGGCCACTTCATCCGCATCCTCGGGTGAGTTTTCATGTACTTCAAGAAATTTTGATTAAAATCTTATTTGTATGTTATATAGACCTCTCGTCCTTTATAGGTAGGGGTAAAATCTGTGTACATCCACTCCCTAGACCTCAATTACTAGGTTGTTGTTTGTAAGTTAGGTATCCGAATTGATTTTTTTAGTACATGGATCATTTAGGTATCATGGTATGCTGCGGGTGTATCCATTATGAATGTCATTTCTTTCTTAGTATTTAGTCAAGTTTCTCCTCACAAACAACCCATAAACCAAACAAACAGCTAAACGAGCCCATATACTCCACTGCATAGTAGGGCGTTTGGGGCGGTGTGGGGGGAATGTACACAGAAATTTCTCCTACCCCCCCCCCCCCCCCCCCCCCCCCCACGTGCACACAGAATACACTAGCACACACATGACACTTAATGGTCTCTGCAATCTTAATATGATGTCACCAGGAACTCATATTTGAGGTCATGTCCTCACAAATAACTCCCTCTAACCCAATTTTTTTAAAAAAAATTTAAAGAGATTTTTAGTTTATTGACTTGTTAGACCTTTTTTCTTGGGGTTTCTGAATTGCTAGTCACAATGATGGCAGATACTGTGTCTCCATGGATCTCCAGATGGGCCAGGACAGTATGTGATTTGTTGTGTATTTTACAGTTAACACTTGCGCTGCTCTACTTTTTATGCTAAAGTGATCTTCTCTGCAGATATGTGGCCATCATGAACTCAATTTTCTCTGCTCAACGCTCAATGGTAAATTGATTTGCTTTATTTCTCTCCAAGCTAAAAGTTATGAATGAAGAGAATATGATATTATGTATGTTGTACTCTGCCCATCCCAATGTAAAATTCAGTTGATAGTATAATTTAGGCACGCTTATCAAAAAAAGCAGGTAAAATGGAGAGAGGGAGCGTTAAATATATATCTCCATCCCAAGAACGAGACATGTTTTGAAGTTTTTTTGTCCCAAATAAATCTCATTCCATCAAATGTTATTAAACTGTCATTAATTTTGTGAAGACATTACAATGTTTCTATCATGTTAATTATGATGCATTTAATTAAACTATGAAATAAGTTTATAACTATAGATCACACCAAACAAACTCAGTATATCCCACTCTAAACCCTAAAGTTTGGGAGGTCAAGATGTATAGAGACCTTATCTCTTCCCTTAGGAGGCTGTTACTTTCAGCAACATGATATAAAAAAATCCTTTTGTAGGTACCGATAGATTCATGTGCCATAGGGGCCCAACATTCCGCTTTCCTGCAGCAGGTATCTATATTTTTTACATTTATGTAACTTCACCTTCTTCTAGTATAATTTAGATGGAAGCCCTACCATTTCGTCACAATAAATATGTGTACTGGTTAATAACAGGCTTCATACATAACTAGCGGAGTTTACTTGAAGCCTCAATTTTTGGATGGACTATTTCAATATCTTTCGGTAAAATTCTCTTCTTGAAACACTAATGGTTATTTATGTTGGTAGAGTGACCTCCTAGTTTGATTTTATCGCCTCACCTTAGTTAAATAAGGGGAGTTGATTCATTGAATGGGTTGTTGGCCTTCTGGGGATCAACACCATGCCTTGCTTGACCTGCTGGTACCACTAGGTGGTGCAGCACCTTGTGTCCACTCAGCGCTCAGTATTAGGGTTTTGCGCTTGTGTAGTGCAGAGGGATTCTTTTAGAATCTCTCTTGGATTTTGCCCTACAAAGGTTTGCGGTTAATTGGTTAACGTTCACTTAGCATGAACTATGTTTAAGACGGATATGACAACCATTAGCCTCAAAACGCTGTTGCTAAATGTAATTGAGCTCGAGTAGTCCTAGGAGGGCTGACCTATTGGAACGTTTGTAAAAATGACTATATCCAACATAAGTTTCCTTAGTATGTGCAATTTTGTAACACAACATTTATTTTTGAAAAGTCTGATAATCAGTGTTTTGCAGACAGTGTTTGCAACTGATTTGCATTCTCGTGCCTTCTTACATCTTCCCAGGCCTGTGGGGGTCGATTTTCGCGCTTCGTAAGTTTATAATATCATTTCGGTATCATTTTTTGTACATAAAATGTCATAAAGGCTCTTGGTCATATGATGGTTTATATTGTATACAATGATGCTTATATGTAAATGTTAAGCAACCTGATACTTTGATAGTTTTAGCAATTAAGCCTGGCTGTGATTAAGCTGAAAGATGATATTCTATATTTCTCAAACAATAAGAGGTAGTGTAGCACCTTATTTATAGGCTCAAGCAACTCTATGAATATGAACTAAGTAGGACTAACACAAACAGTCTTCAAATGACGAACCCACTTAATACTAACTAGCACTCCGTCCCATAAAAAACATCTCACTTTCCGTTTAAGGACATAAATTTGTGGCAAAAAAAAATTCTCCTCTTAATTAACCAATTGTAATCACACCTTTTTTACTTTTCAACCATTTTCTTGAACGGGAGTATTAGGACAATTGGACAAACAGTCATAAACATACTTGGATTAAGTAATACCAAATTAACTAGGGATAGGACAGCACTCATAAATCAATTAGGATTTACTAATAAAATGATTTGGGCTTACGCCTTTGTAACCAATAACCATGATACCCCCCCCCCTTTGGAAATGCCTTGTCATCAAAGCTCAAATCTGGATTATTCTTCATCAATATGCCGACTGGCTCCCAATTTGCGTCTTCTGGAGACAAACTGACCCCTGAATTAGTGCCTCCAAAGTCTTAGACTCTTAGTACTAGCAGGGTCTGCAACCCACCCGCAACGTATAGCATATCAACTGGGAAGGCCTTTAATCAATTTCTTCTTCGTCATTGCAAGGAGGTACGAATTGCTTGATTTTCATCACAAAATAGTCTGGCATCTGCAACTTACGACTCTTTTAAGTACCACAAATAGTCCAAAATACATTGGGCCTGCTCTTTTTGCCTAATTTTTAATTGGAGTCTGGAATCCACTCCATACTATCATGTGAAAAATAATACTTGGTACAAAAGTTGTGAATTTTCATAGTCATTTGAATACCAAAAACAAATGTACTCCCTCCATCCCACTCTTTTTGTCCCATACCCTATTTGGTACCATTTGTGTGGTTGACATATATTCTTTATCTTACTTTTTAATATCATTATCTACCACACAATCTCTACTTTTATTTGATTTTCATTTCACTCCCTCATGTCCCAAAATAGTGGGACAGAGAAAGTAGTTTGTTATTTAACACAATATTTTAATTATTTTGTCATTTTTACAAAAAAAATTGCTTCCATCCGAAAAACTTCACCCACTTCCCCTTTTTGACGTTCCAAAAAAAACTTTTCGCTTTATTTCCTTTTTAGCAATGGATTTGGCTCATAAGGTTTGTCTCTCGTCTAAACAAATCCTAACCTTGCCTTTTCCATATTTCAACATGTTTCGTAAACTCTCGGAAAGTCTTATTGGGTAAAGTGTTTTGGGCCAGAGGATGTAATTAAATATCAATATATGTAGTATTTTTTTGGCCAAAAATATCTTATCATATAAAATCATAATCTTAACGAATATATTAAAAGAAAAAATTCTAGATTTTTGATGTGGAACCTGGAGTCTTGTCATTGGAGTTTGGATAGCTAATTGTTCTTTTAACTCCCGCAGAGCTGAATCTCTAGCCTTCAAACTTTCTTTAACCTTTTGCATGTGGAAATTCCTTGTGAATTGAGTTAAAGCCAGTGGAGGTATGGTACGTGGTATATACCACTACTCAGACCACATTAGAAATGGCTCCCACTATTTTGGTGTATAGGAAGCAAAACATTTTTGTTAACTACAGTTTGGCCATCTGTTTCTTGGTGATATGCTGAGTAGGTTTTATGTTCTGTACAAGCTTGAAGATTTGTTTCCAAAAGTGGCTCATAAACACTTTATCTTTTTAAGAAGTTATTGACTTTGGAATCACACGTAGTTTGATAACCTTTTGAGCAAAAACTACTGCTACGTCCTTAGCAGTAGATCAATTACCTAAATGAAGTAAATGACCATATTTTTTAACTTGTCAATGACTACATGGATAGTGTCTTTCCCTTTTGATTTAGGAAGTCCTTCAGTGAAATGCATAGTCAAATCAGTCCAAATTTTCTCAGTAACAGCCAAGGGAAGTAATAGTCCTGCTGTTTTTCTTGAATCTTCTTCGATCCTTTGACAACTGTCACATACCTGCACGAATAGCGAACTTCCTCATTCCAGACCAAGTAAATAGCCGTTCTATCCTCTTGATTGTTCTTACGACTTCTTAATGGCCTGCACTTGGTGACTATGAAACTCTTGAAGTTTCTTCTTCCTTAGCTCTTTGTCAATTGGTACTAAGACTCTTCCTTTCTTGATGAATGATGATGCATCCACTCCTCAACCGAAAAATTTCATGACTCTTGGGATTGCTGCTCATTTGTTCCTTTAATTTTTATAGTTCAGGTCTTTTTCTGTCATTCTGGCTAAATCTTGCCATATAGTCTATGTTGGCAATGTAATTTCTAAAAGTTGCTTGCTCCTAATGCTGAGATTATTCCCTTCAATTTGTTGTTTCTGCAGCCGGGACAAAGCATTAGCAACCTTATAGTTAGATACGCTTCAATACAAGATTTTATATTTGAGCCCCAAAAGTTTTGAGATCCATTTCTATTGCTCAATGGAAATAATCCTTTGTTTGAGCAATTAGTTTAGACTTTTTTTGGTCTGTGAATATCTTAAACTTCTTCCCTAATTCATATTAGTTACGTTCTCCAATATTTAGCAGCTTATAGGATAGCCAACATCTCTTCATATGTAGGGCAATGTTTTTTTCTTATCATTATAGCATTACTCAGATATTCTATTGGTATTCCATCTTCAAACATCAAAGGTGGGTAAAGCTAATACTGGAGTTTCAGTCATGGCTTCTTGAGATGTTTTTAGGCCCTCTCAGCATCCAAGATTAAACCCAAATGTCTTTTATTAAAAAGTTGATAAGTGTTGCTGCAATATCTCCATATCTCTGCACAAACTTTCTGTAATATCTTGTTAATGTATGAACCCCCGCAGCTCAGTATTAATTGCTTGTCTAGTCCATTGTATCATTGATTGAATTTTTTGGTTGTCTACTTCCACCCTTTGAGAGTTTGAGATATAATGACCCAAATACCCCACCTCATGTTCTCCGAAAACACATTTGAGATATAGTGACCTAAAAGTTTTCCTTAAATTATTGAGATTCTGTTCCCAGCTAGTATATTATTAAAGAATACTTTTAAATACTTTTAGCATATCATTAAAGAATACTGGTATGAATTGCGTGAGATGTGGCCTAAACAAATAAATCATTCACGGATGCTTGAAATGCTGAAGGGGCATTACAGGACCCAAAGGGCATACAAGGTATTCATAGTGCCCATTGTGTGTCGTAAAGGTTGTCTTTTCAATGTCCATGTGGTGAGTCTTGAATGTCGTGAATCCTTATTTGGTGATATCCAGCTCACAAATCAAGTTTGCTTTAAAAATTAAGCACCAAACAGTTCGTCCATAATGTCTTCTGTGGTTAGAATTGGAAATCTGTCCTTAACTGTCTATATTTAATCATTGCAAAATCTCCATGTCCCATCTTTTTTCTTGTCCAATAGAACTGGATATGAAAAAAGGACTTGTACTCAGTCTAATCAGCCCTGTTTTGAGTATTTCTTCAACATGCCTTTCAATCTCGTTCTTCTTAAAGTGAGCATATCTGTATGAAGCTACGTTTACAGTCTTTCCCTCTTCTTTCAGATGAATTTCATGATCATAAATTCTAGCTAGTTGTAGCTCATTTGGTTCATCAAATAGCACTTGATAGGTTTGGCAATTAAGCGAGATTGCCCTTAAGTTGAAAGATGAAAATTTGTGTTCCTAAAAAAGAGGCCACCCCTTATTTATATGCTCAATCTACTCTATGATATTCCCAAACTGACTAGGACTAGTAGTACTAAACTAAGTAGGACTATGACAAACAGTCATCAAGTGACTAGTCCATGTAATGCTAACTAGTACTAGGACAAACAATCATAAATGGACTTAGACTAAGTAATACAAAATTAACTTGGGGTAGGACAATAATCATAAACCAAATAGGAGTTGCTAATAGAATGGCTTGAGCCTTTTACCTTTGGTAAACCAATAACCAATTAGTAAACCACCTTTTACACCACGTTCGCAAAGACACAGATTTTGTTCTCATAGATATCCTTTGCAAACAGATGAGGTTAATGTTTTTTGTGAAAAAAGTGGTGTTAGTGTAAAAGGTGGTTTACTATTATGAAACATATACTATAATATGAAACATTAATGTTATAAAAATAAGATTATAAGTATATTTCTTTTCTTCCTACTCGTTTTTAATATATAAATTTATATTTTCATACAACATCTTAATGATATCGTATAATTATCTTACTGTTTTTTCAAAACTTCTGCATATTTGGTTTTTTATTTGTGATACTGATGTGTCTTAAAAATTACTTAAAATTTCAAAAATAAATAAAGTTCATAACCCGTTGGGTCGATCCGAACCTGATGACAATGGGTCATGAACATGTAATTCTCAACCGGAATCCATACTTACCCGAACTCGAAGTAACCCGAAACGAAACCCGACCTGATTGACCGATTTGCCAGCTCTATAGATACCCTCCTCAAACATATGAGGTTAAGCTTTTGTGAAAAAAGTGCTGCACATAAAGCAGTTTTCATTTATTACATTATTCCTTGTCTAGTACTCCCTCCAACCCATAAAAAACTTCTGGAATTGACTTTTACGGAGTTTAGAAAAAAAGTGTTGAAAAATGAAAAGCGAGGAGCGGTTTAAATATGTCCAAAAGAGAAATTTTGTGGGCGACATTCAATTACCCAAAAGGAAATAAATTAAATATGAAGTTTTTTTATGGGACATTCAGAGAAGAGAAAGAGGAAGTTTTTTTTTGGTGTGAGAGAGGGAGTACTATGTAAATTGAACGATACATGCCCAATGTATCCTAGTCGAAAGTGGGCTCTAGGCTCTAGGACGGATAGGAAGGAACAATCATTTTCTTATTATTGTAGCTGTATTTCTTCTTGCTTCTTTATTTTCTTCATGTTGTGCAATCGTAATTGTCATCCAGCAAGAAATGTTTTTTAGCATCTTTTATATTGGTTTCTCTAAAGCTTAACTCCATTTTCTTCCTAGCCCCATTACTTGATTTTGGACTAGTATTTGGAACCCCTCAAATCCTACTTCCAAGTAGGATATATACTCATATGTTTGGTTTGACATACTCCATATTTTATTAATGCTTCATTCTGGCTTCTGATGCTATAACCAGGTGTTTTTGCCACAAGAATACAATTGACATGGGGTATATATGCTCAGTTTGTTTGTCCATTTTCTGCCAGCATCAAACACAATGCTCCACATGCGGGTAAGTTCGGGTCATAATTTTATCATCAGTTTGTTTGGGTAGAGTTATACTCGCTTTGGCTGCCACAAAATTCTCCTGTTCAATCAATATTCATGTGGTCAAACATTGATCTGTTTCTTTGCAGTTTTCACTACACATTTGATAAAATAATACTACCTCCGTCCCGGAAAATCTTTTCTGGTTTGACTTTTTTGGTCAAACAATGACTCTTTGATCACAAATTGTGACAAATATATTTAGTATTATTGTAAATTCAATATAATTGGATTCATCTTAAGATATAGTTTTGATGTATCAAATTTTTATAACATTTATTTATTCAAATTAAGCTTAATTTGTGGTAAAAAAGAGTCAAAACAGGAAAGATTATCCGGGATGGAGGTAGTGTAACTGTGTCACGGCTCGATGGACATATCTGGCATGCCACCTGTGTCCATAGTGCACAGGCCTAGATTCGGAGCCTACAGCAAGGGCCCAAGGCTTTGGGCCTAACACCAAGAAGGTGGGTCTCAACTACCCTCTAAAAGGGTAGTGCACCCTGTGTGGTTTATCCATGGCCTTACTGGGCAAGGTTGGGCCTGGCCCATATGATAAAAATGTATAATTATCTCCTCCAATTAATGAATGGGAGGATTCTAGTTTTTTGCTATTGCAATCACCTCTAGCTTTGTAGAGTCTTTGACGTGGTTTTCAAATACTAGTATATATTTCTCCGTCCTGTAATTATCTTACTTTCTTATTTAGGTTGTCTAAAAAAATCATCTTTCTTTTTAAGGAATAACTTGAGTGGTTATTATCATTTCTTTTTTCTCCACAAAAACCGCAACTATATACAGAGCAAATTTCACTTTATTAAAATCGTGAAACTAAAAAGAAAATTATGGGACGAAGGGAGTAAATTATTGCCTTCGTTAGATTAATGGTCTCACTTTCTTTTTTAGTTTATCCCAAAATAATTCACACTTCTTTACTTTTTTAATAAAGTAAAGAATACGTGATCTACAATCTTTTTTTCTTTCCTCCAATTAAATTTCAAGTACCTATTCCATATTTGTTACTTTTCAACACTTGTTATGATTTCTGTGAACTCAAACTAGGACGATTAATTCGAACGGAGGCAGTATTTTTAAATTTTATACCATTTTTTAAATAAATTGAATTGAAAATAAAACACTCAAATTGGAAAAGTCTTTTTTAGAAAAGAAGAAGTATTTGGTATTCCCCAACCTTTCCTTAAAGTCATCGACAGCAGTCAAATCTGTCATCTGTTTTTTACTTTGAATTGATTAATTTGAACCACTAATTTGCTAATGTTGTTATTTGTGGGACCCAATACAGATCGGTCTTCGGCAAGAGTCGAGCAGCGGTTGAATCTGCATCGTGAGATGTTGGTAGCATTTTCAAAGCTAATTATATTGTTATAATCTTGTCCCAAACGGTGATGCTAATGGAAAATAATGCTTCCTAACAATCTCAAAGAGGAGAACATATGAAGAAAGATATTTGATGAATGATTAGTTCATTAACTGACAATTATAACTTCGGCAAGGTTTTGTTCATTTGGAGCTCTTCCGGTACTTTATTCGTAAAATTGATAATTCTTACTAATTTTCTCCCTAAACATCCACCGAACCCAACCCCAGCTCGACACATGTGCTCCTACACATTTGGAGGGGTAGAAGGAGAGTCTAGGGTAGGGGTGCAAGAGTTGGGCTGGGATGAGGGTGCGGTGGGGGTTAGAGGGTAAGAAACATCAATTTTGTATTTGGGGCATTGGAGGAGTTCCAAATGACCAAGTGTCTTTTGTTGACACTAAATACCAGTGTCAATAGAACTTTACCGATCCAGGGTGGGGTTCCCATGACATTGGGTTCCAATGTCATGAGATGACCCGGGGGTAGGGGGGGTGTTCGGGTCGAGGCGGGGTGGGGGGGTTTACCAGGGGGGTTAGAGGGGGTAGTAACCGTCAATTTTACGAACGGGGCAACGGAGCGCACTAGGATCATCCCATGACATTGGAACCCAATGTCATGGGAACCTAGGTGTTACTATCCATTACCCATACTTTAGCTAAGAATCTCTATTATTATCTTTATAATTCAATAATATTAATTGTTAACAAATTATATTTTATTGTCAGAGTTAGAATTTTTTCCTTAAAAAATTGTTTGGGTGCCTGGCAGGCGTAACAACCAGCACCGATCTCGATGAGCATGCCAAGTTGACGTCGTCACTTCTTTTTTCATCCAAAAAAGAGTTATGTACGAGCCCCTCTAAAAAATTATGCATGTGTTCAAAGGATGTGAATGTTGTATTTGTCTATGTTTTCTTCTACAAGACCAGAGAATGGAAAGCGGTAGTGAAGTAGAGGAATCGGCCCAAGAGGAGAAGAAGAAACTTATCGTCTTCGCTCCAATTGTAAAATCTTGTCGAAACAAAAATCATCAAACACACTCTCAAGCTCATTTATCATGGGACAAATATCTGTGTATCTGCATCTCTCTTTCTAGCTGCTGTTACAAATCCAATTCTACCAACTCTGTTTTAGTGCTTGTGTTTCAAGCTACGCCCTCATTATCGATAATCAACTTGCGGGGATAATAGAAGCTGAGTTTAGGGGTGTGCTTTATTCGATCCAGACTCGGATCAACCCGAAACCTGGTCAAAGTTAGACCGGCTCGGACCGGTCCTTTTCAGGCCAGGTCTTCGGTCTTCTAAAATCTCTTATTTGGTTCCAGTCTGGCCCACCAGGTTTAGGCTCGGACTAGTGGACCGGTCAAACTTCATTTTTTAAATTTTTTTGAGTAAATTACTAAAATAGTCCTTTATAATAAGATGTTTTCCTAAATCAGTCTTCAATAGGATTTAATTACCTACATGGTCTTCTATAATTGAAATATATTCTCAAAATGGTTCTTTGTTAGACAAGGCATGCAACTCTAGAGGGGGGGGTGAATAGAGTTGTTGAGAATATTTACCGATTTTCGCAGGATTAATAAAATAAACGTAAGTGCAGCGGAAATAAAAGAGATATATCCGTTGGATGACAAGAACACTCTCTTCAAAATATAATTTTCTCTCAAAATAATATAAATTTGAGGAATGATTGATGGAGGATTAACACCTCAAGAATGGGGAGTATTGGAGTGTTTTCTGTTCTTAAAAATGACCAAGGAAGTGTGTTTAAATTGGAGTTGAAAAAATATATCCGTTGATCCATAAAAAGAAGCTGTGCAAGAAAAGATGCAGCGCATTAATCGATTAATGCATCACCATAATCGATTAATGCATCATAAAAAATCGATTAAAGCATCTTCAAAAATCGATTAATGGAGTCTGCGAGGAAAAGGATAATCGATTAAAGGAAGATAAAAAATCGATTAGTCAACTCTGCCAGCCTTAATCGATTAACAGAGGAGCAAAAATCGATTAATGTTCCAGCCCAGGGTAATCGATTAACAGAGGAGTTAATCGATTAATTTTGGAAGATTAATCGATTAATAAGGAAATAATGCGCAAACACAAAGGGTCCAAGGCCAGTTGCGATTGAGAGCGAATTGGCTCAAACTCGTTGTTTGAGACAAGAAGAATCAGGGAGCGCTCCTCCTCTCTTATTCAATGATTTGAATAAGGGAGTAAAAGTAAGTCCAAAAATTATTTTGTGTGTCAAATGATGTACATGAAAAATATTTGAATAAAATATTTTTGCTTACCAAAAATATTTTATAATATCAAAATAAATATTTGATAAATGTTTGACACACTTTTTGTAACTGACTCAATAAAACTATTTTGAACAGTTAAAAAAAAATTTCAACTGACTCCAAAAATAAATACTATAATTTTTATTTTGACTCTCATAAAAATAATTTTGGAGAGAAGATATTTTTGTCATCCTTACAATAATTCCTAAGACTCAAATAAATAAAAAGTCTTCGGAAATCTTCTTTTCCTCCGAGTCCTCCGTTAGGCGCTCCGAACGCGTCTCGGACTTCAACAAAATCTTGTGCACCTTCTTGAATACTTCAAGGAATGGCACTTCAAGTCTTCGTATTTGTAGTTGTAGCACTTTAATCTTGACTTGAATAAATTGTGTTTGTTAATTATCAAAATCTGTGAGTCAAAACTAAACAACACAGAAAGGGTTGAACTCATGCATTCCAACATTCTTCATAAATAATATTACTCAAATGAGAATTAATTGATGGTATTTGGTATTTTTTATCCGTTAAATTTAGAATTAATTCTTAAAATGATCATTTATCATGAAGTACTTTCCAAAAATGATTTTTCTAATTAAAGATGTGTACTTAATTTGAAATTTAAAAGATTTTTTCTAAGTTTTAAATAATTCATGAATTATTTATAATCAATGTATTTTTTAAATTTTACATTTACTTGTACAGAAATGAATGTTTTGAGAATATATTCTAAATTTGGATGATCGAAATACTAAAATTTCTCCCAATTAATTATCATTTGAGTTACAATATTTATGAAGGACTATCTTGGGAATAGATCTCAATTATAGAAGACCATGTAGGTAATTAAACTTATTGAGGACTGAATTAAAAAAATACCTTATTTCAAAGGACCATTTTGGGAATTTACTCAATTTTTTTCTACATAATAATATAATATAACTAATTAAGGTTTTTTCTTATATTTTGCTCATGTTACAATAATTTTAAGACTAATTCAATGCCACATATTTTTTATCATAACTTTTTTAAATAGTCAATTTAAATAAAATAAAAATTCTATTAATGTTTTTTACAAATTATCCTTACTATATTTTAAGACTAATAAAGTGTTACATTTTCACTTTACATCACAAAAATAATTTTTTGTGTGGGAAGAATAAAAGAACTTTTTAAATTTTTTTTACATCCTTTTAAAATGATGTCTTTTACTATTTTTACTTAAAAAAAGATATATGTAAGATTTGAATGTTGGGTTGTGAGCGATAGTAGTCTCTAAAGCATCTTTGTCCTCATTTAGTGTTGTACGGAAAACTCCATTAGTATTATTGTTAATTTTAAGTTTACTTTTTAAACAACATGAATGCTTTATTTATAGTGTTGATACTATGTCAAAAATTTGAATTTTTAAATAATGGTGATTGATACTCCTGTTCAAAATTGTAATTTTTAAGTAATGGTAATTATAAATTAGTAATATTTATATATTTTTTACAAGTGGATATTTTAAATTAAATAGATAAAATTGATTTTTTAAAAAAATTAGTAATAAAAAGCCTTATTCGATCCGGTCCGGGTTTTACCGGTCTGATCCCGGGCCGGTCGTTATCATATTCGAGTTGGCCTCCGTTCCAAGAAAAGTGCCTTATTCGGTCCCGGTCAGGGCTGGCAGGTCTGGTCGGGTTTGGACCGATGCATGCCCCTAACTAAGCTATCAGAAATTACTAAATTATTCAAGTTTTTCATTTTACTCGTACGTATGTTCTTATCATATTTACTTTTTCTACTTTATTTACTGTTCCTACTTTAGTTAGGAATCCCGATGTATTCCCTATATATTTAGGAAAATTATAGGGGTACACCAAAGGTGTACCCCATTTGTCCCCAACTCCCTCCATTACCACTTAAATATGCAAGAAATTTAAAAAAAATTAAGTAAATAAAAATAAAAAGTAAATGAGTGGTTATGGAGAGGGTGGTGTACAAATGGGGTACACCTTTGGTGTACCCCTAGCATCTCCCATTTATGAAACTTAATAATTCAATAAAACATAATTAATTACATGCATCAGAAATAAATGTCATTAGATTTGTCTGATATATTATTAAAAATTTATCATGTTGTACCAATATGGATTGCAAATTTAATGTAATTAATGGTTACATTTCCTTAATTAAAGGATTGAGCCTTTCACAAAAAAAGATTCACTCGCCAGCTCACGAAATGTGTGAGAAAATTCACGTCACATGTAAACCTTAGGATTCCGAAAGAACAATTCATTTTTTCATTGGGTACCATTCTTTTGATATCAAACACTAAATATTCACCTATTTTAGACACACAATATCCCAAAGTATTTATCCAATTTTGATATTTTGGTCAACTATATTTCAATTTTTGATCTATAATTAGATAAAATATATATTGTATATTAATCAAATAAAATAATATTTTGAAAATAGTTTTATAATGAATCTAGTAAAATTGTTTTTGTATTAATATCTAACAACATTTTTATTTAATTTGGAGTCAAAGTTTAACAATTTTGATTAGAAAAAGTCAATAGTGGATGACTCGAGGATGGAGGGATGCTACATTGTTGTACTCAAACCTACCACCATAAGTGGTGAACTAGAAGAGAAAATTGCTTGATAGAATTTGGGATAGATATATATGAACAACGGAATTGGGTAATAAGACACTTGAGCTGAACCACATTAAAAGATTGAATCCAATCGATTACTTAGTTCAACTCAAGAGCTTAATTAAAA